CTCTCTATCGAGGAAACTCGGGGAGTTCTCTCCTTCAACCCTAAGCTGCACACTTGGTAGCCCAGTGGTGCCCATTTCCCCTTTTTTGGTTCAAGGTTCCCTAGAAAAAATAGCCAAGACAAGAAAAGCCCATTGACCCTTTTTTTGGTTCAAGTTCCTTAAAAGAGTAAGTAACCAAAACAAGAAAGGGTGCCCTTATCAACATAAAGTTGCTGGGCCACCAAGTACACTTCGACATGGCGAGGCCTCTAAGTTATGTACCCCTCTGCAGGTCCTCAATCATTCAATCCCTAAACCCTAAACCCTAAACCCTTCTTCTAAGGACCCAGCCAGGGACCCTGTTTCGTAGAACAGCCTGAAGCTTGGGATGTTCCCCGTCTACTAATACAGTCCGTAACAGGGATTCTAATGGGGGGGGGGGGGTATTGTAATCCAGATTCAGGACTGTCAGTATAGGGGGGGAGGGGGACCTGAACCCTAAACCCTAAACCCTAAACCCTAAACCCTAACATCCCAAAACGATGCCCTTGATCCGCCTTGATCCTTTTCAGCCTTTCATCCTGTGGAGTGCCTGGGCTTCAGAACCCATCTGAGTGAGTGCTGGCGGCCCCAGTCCCCTACTAGGGTCTAGGGTCTAGGGTCTAGGGTTTAGGGTTTAGGGTTTAGGGTTTAGGGTTTAGGGTTTAGGGTTTATACTCCCTGAACCCTAAACCCTGAGGCCCTAAGCCGAACATGTCTGCGGAAAGCCTCGCTCTGCTGGGATTCTGGGGACGAAATGAACTCAAGTTGGCATCGTACACGCAAATACAATGGTGATCCCTGTCAACGTCGTCTTCCAAACAACATGTCGTCTTAACCTGAACCCGAAACCCTAAATAAACCCCGAACCCTAAACCCGAAATCCTGAACTCTAAGCCCTAAACTCTATACACCCTAAACCCCGTAAACCCTAAACCCCGAACCCCAAACCCCAAACCCTAAACCCCAAACCCTAAACCCCAAACCCGAAACCCGAAAACCCTAAACCCCAAACCCTCGGAAGGCGGAGAAGAGGCAGGTGGCCGAGGTCGCTGCCGCCATGGAGCGCCATCAGCAGCAGCCGGGGTCCTTCGTGGAGGGTTTAGGGTTTAGGGTTTAGGGTTTAGGGTTTAGGGTTTAGGGTTTAGGGTTTAGGGTTTAGGGTTTAGGGTTTAGGGTTTAGGGTCTATCAGTCGGGGGGCCCTTCTGGGAGGCTTGACCCACTCGTCTTGGGGTTTAGGGTTTAGGGTTTCGGGTTTGGGGTTTAGGGTTGAGGGTTCAGGGTTTTAGGGTTTAGGACCCGTAGTAGGCCCTGATTTCCTTTCTTTGGGGTTGGGGCTCCCTTGCAATCCCCTGAAAACCGACAGGGGTACCCTTTTTGTTGCTAGGTTACTCCTGGGTCTAGTCTTGGAGGGTTTGACCCGCTCGTCTTGGGGTTTGGGCTTTGGGGTTTAGGCTTCAGGGTTTAGGGTCTAGGGTTTAGGGTTCAGGGTTTGGGCTTTAGGGTTTATGCAGGGTTCCTTGATGCCCATGAGCCCGTCCGCACATGTCCTGAGGCTTCACTTCAGTCTGGAGAACGACCGCGCCACTCTTCGCCGCGAGTGGGAGGCGCTGTCTTGCCACCTAAGCCTCAAACCCCTAAACCCTACTTGGAGGTTTAGGGTTTAGGGTTTAGGGTTTAGGGTTCAGGGTTATGGGGTATGGGTTTTGCTTGGCAGAAGCTTCTCTGGCTTCTTTTTTGTGAGTTTGGTCGTACGCTCGGAGTTTAAGGTGTCAAGGCTTTATTTTCTGGGGGCCAGACGAACTGATCCGACACCCCAAACCTCAAGTCACCCTTAAGCCCCTGCGTTGCCCAGTGGTACCCTTTTCCTTTTTTGTCTCTGTTGCTTCAAGGTTCCCTTATAAACTAACCAACCAAAGAAGGGTGCCCTTATTGCAGTATGGTTACTGGGGTACCAAGGCCCTCAGGCCCCAAACCCGAAACCCGAAAGCCCGAAGCGACCCACCTCCCAGAGCCCCCCCCCCCAACCCGCAATTGTTCCCAGCTTTTGGGGTTTACGTAGAGTTTTTAGGGTTTAGGTGGTTTAGGGTTTAGGGTTTAGGGTTTTGGGTTTTGGGTTTTGGGTTTTGGGTTTGAGGGTTCTGGGAAACCCTAGATCCGAAGTCCTTACTGAACACTCACCGCCAACCTCCGAAAGCCATAGACCCAAAACCCTAAACCTTACCTGTGCAGAAGGGCAGAAACGTCCCAAAATCCTAAACCCTAACACCTAAGCCCGCAAATCGAGGAGAAGTGGGCAAAAAGTCCCGAAACCCTAAATTTGAAACCCTAAACCCTAGACTTTGCAAGGCAAAGGTCGAGAAGATGGACATGTTGGAGCAGAACCTGGAGAGTGACCGGAACCCTGGGGAACGTTTTTGGGGTTTAGGGTTTAGGGTTTAGGGAACGGCTTTGGGGTTGAGAGGGCTTCGGGTTTAGGGTTTCAATGCATGAGCTATCAGAACAGTGAGGTCACGGCATGCATTCGGACAATGACATTTTGTGCCCTCACCTACCGACGCTTAATTTGGGCTCAGGGTTTGGTTTGAATCTTGTGCAGTTGCAGCGTTAGGCCCGTGGGGCTTATGCCAGACGGGTGGCGAATTCCTAAACCCGGGGTGAGCGACTAAACCCCATTTCGGGTTAATGTTGTTTCTTTATTTGTGTTTTTAGGTTTGTTCCTGAATTCGGGGGGAGTCTTGCTACTGGCGGGTGGGGACTGGTTTAAACGATAAACAGGTAGATGTTCTTCCAAGTGGGTAGTAGCGTGTGCCGCTCCCGAACAACCTAAGCCCTAAACCCTAAAGCCTAAACCCTAAGCCCCAAGCCCCAAGCCCTAAGCCCTAAACCCGGAACCCTAAACCCTAAACCCTAAACCCTAAACCTTAAACCCTAAACCCTAAACCCTAAACCCTAAACCCTAAACCCTAAACCCTAAACCCTAAACCCTAAACCCTAAACCCTAAACCCTAAACCCTAGCCTTGGCGGACCATTAGTTCGACAAGCCTTTTGGCCCTAAACCACCAGGGTTACCTGGGCCCTGAACCTGATACACTCTATATGAAGCAGGGTATATATTGCTGTTTTTGGTGCGTGTATATAGGGTTCCTTGTTAAGATTGGTGAGTGTATATACCTGGTGGCCTTTTGGGGATACAAGAAATATAAACCCGCTATATGCCCAAGGTCCTGATGGCCGTGGAGGGGCTGCAGCAAAAAGCTGCCACGGCCTTAGGGGGTTTAGGGTTAGGGGGAAAAACGGGGGTTGACACCTCTTGTCGCCCAGTTCGCTATGATGGTCCTTTTTTTTTGCAGGTGCCCCAAAAAATGGGTGCATCAAAAAACAGGACCCAAAAAGGAACCTCGGTTTTCGAGGCCTGACCAGCAACTGCACAGGGCTGTCCTAAACCTCACGCTCCCCCATCGCAGCAGGAATACACAAGTGCTCCCTTAAACCCTCTTTTGCTACGTTCCGCGGTGGTATCCGTTCCTTTCTTGTTTCCAATCACAATCCGTTGTGCAAGGAAGGGCTTCTAAACTGAGATTGGGCACCGAACGACCCCCCCCCCCCATCTTGAGTATCCGCACGCATAGCTTACTTGGGCATCATCGTCCTGTGAAGTTTCCCTGTTTTGTACGCGAGTGCTGGCTCTTGGGTCTTGCTTGGCTCCTAGCCCTAAACCCTAAACCCTAAACCCTGCAAGGACGCCACCCCTTGCCGTGGCGAGATGTCCCCGTGCCGTGGAGTCCTCAGCAGCCTCAGCGGATCTGCAAACTCTGAACTCCTAGAATGACTACAACCATGGAACCGCGCCCTATAAAGGGTCTAGGGTTTAGGGTTCAGGGTTTGTTTAGGGTTCAGGGTTACTCAGGTTTCATGAAGGTTAAGGGCGCGCACGAGGGTCGAGGATTTATGGTTTGTAGTTAGGACTTGAGAGTGTAGGGTCTGTAGGGTAGCACGCGCAAACGGTGGCCGGGAGGCAAGCAAAGTAAAAGCCCTGAGCCCTAGTTGAGCCTCTAATGTCATAGGTGTCCCCATATCTCCTTCGAAGGTTTAGGGTTTAGGGTCTAGGGTCTAGGGTTTAGGGTTTAGGATCCCCAAAGTTCCCCCTTCAGTTTCAGGAATCACATGCGGTTCTTGGGCTTTGACCCTGTGAAACGCCTGCTGAGTGCCTTGCCTGCCTCGTGCGATTCTAAGGGTCGTTCCCTGACACAGCCCTGATATACTCTACACAAATGAAGGGCCCATACACCAGAACCTTAGGAAGGAGGTAGGGGACCATTCTTAAGGGCCCATGAAACTACAGCTTCGACGCGAGCGCGGGCCATTGAAACCTCGAATCCCGCCATGTTGGTCTCCCGGAAGGTAGCGACTCGCCAGTGCAGACCACCCAGGAGGCCTCAGATGTCGATCCCGCAGTTCAGGGTTTAGGGTTTAGGGTTTAGGGATTAGGGTTTAGGGTTTAGGGTTTAGGATTTCAGGTTTAGGGGGTTGGGTTTCAGGGCCTTGTGGGAGCTTCATGGCTTCCGCTTCGGAGCCGCTGTTGGCTTCATGCCTTCCCGAACAAGCCAGCAAGCTAGCCTCGCTGATTCTGACGTCGAGGAGCTGGAGCAGGGCTTCACCTGCTTTGGCCAGCGCTGCATAGCAAGCCTAACATTGTAAGCCTGACAGCGCCGCGTCCCACCCTTCTTTAGTCCCTCTGGTGGAAGCTTTGTATACAAGGAGCCAGCAGGCTGGTTTTGCATGGTCGGTCAGGGCAGAAGCAGTAGGCTTTCCCGGGCCCACATGTACGTCTTTGCGAACACTTCTTGCAGGCGAGGTAGTTGCAGGATTCACAGGATTGCAGTTGCACAGTCTCACTCCCAGTGTGCACTGCGTCCCACATTAAATTTCCGAGGGGTCAACGCATCGGATTAGGAAAGCTGTCGCTGTCCGTGTCCGATGCCGATAGCAACAATGCTACCCACATTGCTGGGCATCGCCGCTGCAATCGTGATGCTCTGGGTCGGCATGAGAAACTTGGGTCAAGAGCCTGGCAGAGAAGATTCTCGAGCACTGCTGGCGCTTCGCCCAGCCAGGACAGCATCAGAGGGGGTGCTGAAGGTGCCGAACATCATCTGGATACTCACGGATGACCAGGATCAGGTGCTTGGAGGCTCCTTCCCCCCAACCAGCCCGGGAGGTGCCACGCCCATGCCGAAGACCAAGCGCCTGCTGAGTGATGCCGGGATCTGGGCGGAGAACTGGTACATTCATGTTCCCATCTGCAGCCCCTCGCGCTCGACTCTCCTGAGCGGCCGATATTTCCACAACATCAAGCCACTAGGTCCCAGAGGGTAGTACAAGGTTAGGCTCTTTGAAGCTTGCTTTGCTTGCTGGCTTCATATTTGCTGCTGTGCCTTTCAGAGGGCCAACTTAGGCAAGTGGCTGGGCCAGGTGCCGGCATGCACGTGAACTACAGCAAGGTCAATGGCGACACCTTCGTGCGGCGCCTGCACTCGGCGGGCTACACGACCGGCATGTTCGGCAAGTATCTGACGCAGGGCTGCGCTCTTCATGGCAGGGCATTTTGCTGACTAGAGTGACTAGAGCCTACCAGGGCTATAGGGGTGCAAGAGACGTTCGATGTTCATCTTCTGTAGGCTAATTCACTTGGTAGCCCAGTGGTGCCCTTTACCCTTTTGTTTGGGTTCTGGCTTCCCTTATACAACAACCAACCAAAAAAAGGGCCCCCTTATTGTGATGTGGTTACTGGGCTGCTAAGTTCAGATGTGTTCATGTGGAATGCAGCCCAGGAACGTGATGCCCCAGACTGTGCCGCCTGGGTTCGACGTGTGGTTTGCAAACGACGGCGGCGACTACTTTGCCCCGAAGCTTGCGGACGATGGGGGGCGGGTTTTGTCAATATTGCTCATATGAACTCCACAAGTAGGGATTTCGATGTTCTACATTTAGGGTTGGGTTTTGTCATTGTTTATACTAACCCCAAGAGAGCTCCCAGAGAAAACATATCTTCATGCTGTTTTGCAGAGGGTGTAGATAAAATATTTAATTTGCAAGGCTCAATTAGCCTGGGTTTAGGGTTTAGGGTTTAGGGTTTAGGGTTTTGGGTTTTGGGTTTTGGGTTTTGGGTTTAGGGAGCCCCCTAAGGAAGTTCATGGTCAGTGGCGTTGAGGGGCTCCCAGAGGGCTGGGTCAAGTTCAGCAACGCCCCCTCGAACTACAGCATCTTGGATCCCAGTGGTACCCCCTTTTCCCTGCCTTTTCCCTTCTTTTCGGTTCGGGGTTTGGGGTTTGGGGTTTAGGGTTTAGGGTTCAGGGTTTAGGGTTTAGAGTAGTCTTGCTAGCCCGGGGTACCCTGGCACCCTTTTTGGGGATTTCTGGGTTCCCTTCTAAAGTAACCAACCCAAAAGAAAAAGGGTGCCCTTAGTAGAAGATGGTTACTTAACTAGCTCTAAAGATGTATGTTTAAAGCTAAACTTTAGCTTTAAAAAATACATCTTTAGAGGGCTACCAAAAGGCACGTCTGTGATCGGGAATATGTCGGTGGCTTTCATCGAGAAGGCCATCGATCAAGGCCGGCCTTTCATGGCGTACATCGCCCCAAAAGCCGCCCATGAGCCGTTTCTTTGTCAAAGTTGGGTGCCATGTTACATTTTTAAGGTACTTAAACCCAATAAGGAATATCAGTTTTGAATCTTTAATATTCTCCCAACCATGAACTAGGTTTAATCCGGCTCCATGGTACCGCGACACCTGGGACCCCTCCTGGCCGGAGCACGAGCCTCGGGCCGAGAACTGGAACTGCTCTGCTGCCAGCCGGCAAGGCCATCATGGCAACATCGCCACGGAACCTGGTTTTGCTAGGGTTTAGGGTTTGGGGTTTGGGGTTTAGGGTTTTGGGTGTTCTCCAGTGGTGGTTGTTGGAGCGTTACCAATGTTCCTTGCTGTGTCCAGCCAAGAAAATGCTGTAGGAGCCGCTCTTGACCCCGGATGCCTCCAGCGTCATCACCGGCGTTTTCAAGAACCGCTGGCGCACGCTGCTGTCGGTCGATGACTTGATTGCAGAGGTGATCGGGAAGCTGGGTTGCTGTTAGAAGACCATATACATTAGGGATTGCATAGCTAATATGTTCGTCTGCTTGCTATGACAGCTTGTAACCCTAAACCCTAAACCCTAAACCCTATTATAAACCCTAAACCCTAAACCCTATAGTTTAGGAGGTTTGTTTAGTAGCCTTTCCAGGAAAGTGGAAGAGCTCGGCCAGCTCGACAACACCTACGTGTTCTTCTCAAGCGACCATGGTTTCCAACTAGGCCAGTTCAACATCCCAATGGACAAGCGCCACGTCTACGAGCCTTGACAGCAGGAGACATCTGCTTTATTCACCGTATACAGGGATCTATACACGGTGTACCATTTTCACTGTTGCTGCCAAGCCGACTTTAATCTAAACCCGAAATATCTGTGGGTGCGCGCGCAACCGCAGTTTACGGCTGAAGCCATGTTGCGAGACTCACCCCGCAAAAACCTAAGCCAGAAGGGCCGTGGAATGTCGAAGCTTTTTTGGGCCATCTTCCTGCAATGCGTTTGTTCATCTGGAGGGTCCAAGCCCCTTATCAACGTCGTCTGGTTTAAGTGCACAGACCTACGCACGCACGACCATGCTGCGCTAAAGGCAGCACATGCAGACAACTTGCCAGTCTTACATCTCTACGTGTTCGATCCCTTCTGGTATGAGGGCAAGACGACTCTCTGCGGCTTCCCAAAAACGGGAGTCGTGCGAACGCAGTTTCAGTTGGAGGCCTTGGAGGACCTTGCCAGCAGGCTCGAATCGAAAGGCCATCGGCTCAACATGCGCACGAACGTGTCCACAGCAGAGTGCTTCCGGGAGCTCTGCAAGGACTACGCCATCAACGCCGTCTTCGCATTTCATGAGGTGTGCAGTGAAGAGCTTCGCATTCAGCGGCAGGTCCAGCAGGTGCTGCGTCAAAATGGGGCAGGTTCACTTCAGCTTCACTGGGGCTATGAGTTGCTTCACCATGATGACTTGCCCTTTGCTACCAAAGACCGAGCCGCGTTCAAGGAGATCGAGGTTTTTCTCGGGCGCGTGCGGGGCGTCTCTCCGAGGCCATCTGCATGGCATGAGCCTGACTTTGCAACTGGTCCTGAGAAAGCTGTCCACTGGCAAAGAGCATGCGAGCAAGTTCCACAAGCGGAGGAGGTCATGGGAAAGAATTTCTTGGCGCAAGAGAGCACTAGCCCTCATGTGGAGTTTCGTTGGCAGGGAGGTGAGACGGCTGCCCTTGCGAGGGTGCGGGAGTACATCTGGGACGAAGACCGGCTGGCTCTTGACTACGTGGGCGCAACATCTGTGAGAAGCTTATACAGAAGCCCTCTGGACGACGAGGCAACCTCGAGGTTGTCCCCATGGCTTGCTCATGGCTGCCTGTCCCCGAGATTACTCTACGAGGAGGTCCAGCGCTACATCTTGGCGTATCAAGAAAGGGCGAGGTCTACGGCGAGGGAGACGCAGACATACACACACTCGGGCATCGGGATTCGAAGTCCCTATAACGTCTCCCATAGAATCATACGCGAGCTCCTCTGGCGCGACTTCGTGCGCTTTGGAAGTATCGAGGCGGGCAACAGCATATTCAAGATCGGTGGCCGAGACAAGGTCATTCGCCAGAATCAGGAGGAAGCCCCAAGGAACCACCAGCATTTGGCATCCTGGTGTTGGTCTTCAGATCAAGGTCTGCTGCAAGCTTGGATTGATGGCCGCACCGGGTTCCCATTCATCGACAGCTCCATGCGAGAGTTGAAGATCACTGGCTACTGTAAGCACATCTGCCGCTTGTGTGCAGGGTGGTTTCTCATCTCCGACCTGGGCCTCGACTGGCGAATGGGAGGAGAGTGGTTTGAGTCCATACTTGCTGCTGGGTTGTGCTTGGGGAAGAGAGTTTTGTCATGTCCCTTCTCTCTTTATAAGGGGGCCTATTCATATATATATATATATATTCATATATATTCATACATATTCATATTCATATATATATATATATATATATATATTCATATGTATATATATATATATTCATATATATATATATATATATATATATTTTCCAAGGGCTTGAAGCACATCTCAGGTTGACTATGAGCCCACGTTGAACTGGTTCAACTGGGTCTATGGGTGCCTGGAACCCATCAACCCCCACAAGCCCCAACCTCAAAACCGGCAGCAATGCCGGGAGATCTTGGAGGCTTGGTAGGTCAGTGGTACCCTTTACTGTTTTTTTTTTTTTTTTGGGGGGGGGGGGGGGGGGGGGGGGCGGGGATTCTGGGTTTGCCTTTAAAGTAGTTAAGCCAAAAGAGGACCAGGATGCTTTTATCAGAACGATTGCTGGGCTACCAAGGAGGCAGGGGTCGTGCACGACCCGGATGCCGTTTATGTCAAGAGATGGCTTCCTGAGCTTGCATCGTTACCCCCGACTCTGGCCAGGGAGCCCTGGCGCTTGGATCCGAAGGGCATCAGATGGGCATCAAGGTCCACAAGCCTGCGCAGGATGCCTTTCTTACGGGGCTTCCAAGGTCCGCCCACCGTGCAAGAAGAGGAGCCGGCAACTGCACCCGGAAGCGCCCGCGCAGGCTCTCTCTGGCAAAAGATCGTCGCCTTCTTCCTCCCCAAAGCGCGTGCGCGCTTTCCGCTGCGCCTTCCCAGTAGGCGTGGCTCGTCCCCACATGCCTTCCGCTATGGCGTGGACTACCCGAAGCCAGTGACTTACTTAGGGACACTTGGGAATCATTTTTTATTCTTGAGTACCAGATAGTTCCTAAGAAACAGCAAAAATCTAATCTCCGTTAGGGCTCCAAGTATAGGTGATCGAACCCGTCGCCTTGACGCATGCGGAGGAGGGAGAGGCAAAAGTTCGCTCTGCTCGGAGCATCTCCGAGCAGCAAAGAGACGAGGAATTGGCTTGGCTGGCCCGGTCCGCATCTTTGGGGACAAAATGAACCTTAGGGTTTAGGGTTTAGGGTTTAGGGTTTAGGGTTTATAGGGTTTAGGCTTAGGGTTTTGGGGTCATCTACCCTATACTTCGATAAGTCCGAGTAAGGCAATATGAACCATGAACCCTTTCAGGGTTCATTTCGTCCCCCAGGATCTAGGCCTCCGTTCAGATGTCTGGCCGCCGCGCTTCAAAACAAACCCGCAGGTGCTTCAGGTGTTGGGGGGTGGGGTTTAGGGTTTAGGGTTTAGGGTTTAGGGTTTAGGGTTTAGGGTTTAGGGTTTAGGGTTTAGGGTTTAGGGTGGTGAGGGCGCTGTGAAGAGCAAGCTCTCCATGAAGTCCTCGGACACTTGAGCTCCTTCACAAGCCTGTAGTTTTCATGCCCCCCCCCGAAACCCTAAAACCTAAAAAACCTTATAAGCCCTAAACCCTAAACCGTAGACAAAACAAGAAACAAAATCGTTCCATCCCCAACAGTGTGAAGCCGAGAGGTGTCTAAGCATCCTATTCATGGTGCAGAGGGAAGTGGAACTTAGTAGCTGAGTGAGCACGCCTTACACTTTCTGGGATACTAGAGCCCCCCTACCGAGCTGAGAGTGTACACTTTCTTTGGGGGCTTCTGACTTCAGCAAAAGTTCAGCTTGGGAGGGTTAGGGAGTGGGGTTTAGCCCGGATCCAGACGGGGCCCATATTCCCCTTTTTGGGGGGGGATTTGGGCTCCTTGAATAGACCTGTTCATACACCAGAAAAAAGCACCCGCTTCATGTTTTGGTTACTCTTGGGTCTGACCTTCGGCCCCTATGCAATAGTTGCCACAAGAGAGGGTCGGAGTTTGGGGTTTGGGGTTTAGGGTTTCGGGTTTGGGGTTCAGGGTTTCCCTCTCCCTTAGACCCTTTACTAAACCCTAAAGTTTTGCTGTGACTTTTGCTTGTTTTCGATTACCCCACCAGAAGTTGTCCATTGGAGTCCCATCAGACGGGCTTCGGTAGCATGAGCAGCAGAGCGACCCAGATTCCTGCGGTAAGGGGGTCTGCGGCATCGCGGATGTATCCTTTGCAAGGCACCGAGCAGAAAGACGACGAGCCTAAACCCCAAACCCTGAACCCTAAACCCTAAACCCTAAAACCTAAACCCTAAACCCTATAAACCCTAAACCCGAAGCTGGCCCTAAGCCCTTATAAAATAGACTTCTGCGAGTTCAGGAGTGGGACACAAAGATCCACCTACTTGCGAGGGGTCCCGGAATCCGACCGGGCTCTCACTTCAGTGCACCGGGCACGCAGGCGCCGGGTCCATGTGGGGAATTTTCCGAAGATTGGGGTAGGCTTTAGGGTTAGGGTTTAGGGTCTAGGATTTGGGGCTTTGGGCTTCTCCTATTCCATGAACATCCCCATTTTAAGGCACTAGCTAAACCCTAAACCCTCCCAAACTGGAATTCCACTAGCTAACCTTAAACTCTTTAGGGTTTTTTTTGGGTATTTTAGGGGTTTTGGGGGTATTTAGGGGTATTCAAGGGTTTTTAGGGCACTTAGGTCTAAACCCTCCCAAACTGGTAACCTTAAACCATTTAGGGGCTTTTAGGGTAATTTAAGGGTTTTGGGGGTATTTAAGGGTATTCAAGTGTTTTTAGGGCACTTAGGTCTACCTGCAAAGCCCTTTCCAGGTCGACATCGCGCCGACTCTCCTGGGCCTCGCAGGGTGGGCTTAGGGTTTAGGGTTTAGGGTTTAGGGTTACTGGAGGTTTTCGTTTGGCGTTTTTCGGGGTTTTCAGGCTGCAGCGTTTGGGGTTTTAGGGTTCTAGGCTAGAAATCCCTACATCCTATAAGATGCCCCCACTTCCCCGCCCCCTCAAACCATCAAAATCTCCCCTGGGTTCAGGGTCCCTCCTCGTCCCACGTCACTGCACCCTAAACCCTAAACCCTAAACCCTAAACCCTAAACCCTAAACCCTAAACCCTAAACCCTAAACCGCCAGGTTGGAGGCACCTCCGCACTATGATGGGAGGTCCGTCGCCCGCTTCCTCATCGACCCGGAGCTTGAGGCCCAAAGAGTCCCTAAACTCTGAGTCGGGTTTAGGGTTTAGGGTTTAGGGTTTAGGGTTTAGGGTTTAGGGTTTAGGGTTTAGGGTTTAGGGTTTAGGGTTTAGGGTTTAGGGTTTAGGGTTTAGGGGCTTGGGGTTTAGGGTTTAGGGTTTAGGGTTTAGGGTTTAGGGCAGACCCTAGACCCCTCCCAAGAGTCCCCAAGTCAAGCAGCCTGAATCGATTGTCAGGACTGCATACTTGAACATTCCTGCGGTGCTTGGCAAGCCTGCCACAAAAGGGCTTAGGGGTCTAGGGTATGAAGGGTTGAGGGTTTAGAAGGTTCATGGGCAGCTACAAGTAGGGTTAATTATACGTGTCCAATAAGTAATAAGGTCCCTAAACCCTAAACCCTAAACCCTAAACCCTAAACCCTAAACCCTAAACCCTACAAATCCTAAGCCCAAGCTACCTCCAAGTGTTTGCTACCTTTCACTAAGAAAGGGGGAGCTCCTAAGCATGCCAGAAACCCCAAGGCCCCTGAGTCCAAACACCCTAAACCCTAAACCCTAAACCCTAAACCCTAAACCCTAAACCCTAAACCCTAAACCCTAAACCCTAAACCCTAAACAGGCAGAGCTGCCTGAGTCTGCCCAGCTTCATTTGCAAACCCTTCCGGGGCCGGCAGAAGCGGCGCAATCTTGGAGACAGGAGCTGCGCCTGGGTTTCAGAAGGCCTAGTCGGTGGGGTGGATATAGAATAGATTTTAAATTTCCATGGGTCCTAATCCCTATTTACCCTTAATGGCTCATAGACATTTAAATTTGTATAGGGCCCCCCAGGTCGCGCTCAGGGGATTCAGGGGTTTGGGGTTTAGGGTTTAGGGTTTGGGGTTTAAACCCTTATAGCGCTAAGGGTCCATGTACCTCATAGTACTTTAAGGCCCAAGTAGTCCCTATTTAGGTACATGGACCGGCTACAAAGTACTCAGGTTCATCGAGTATTACTACGTGGACTACAACTCCAAGTGTGTGACGAACTGCCCGAACACTTCAGCATCTTAGGAGTTGGGTAGTTAAACCTTTAACCTTTTTGGTCATATAACACTTAAAAAAAGCGGTTGACCTTTTTTGGGCTAGGGTATTCAGCCCCTAAGGCATATCCCCTGGCCGACAGCTGGTGTGGAGATTTGGCAAAGAACAAAGACTGCTGGTGCTCCAGGGAGGCGAAGTTAGAAGCTGGCTGCTATTACACGGAGACCCCTGCTAACAATTTCATTGCCCTTCGTGATTCTTGGTAGCCCAGTGGTACCCTTTGCCCTTTTCGGGGGGTTCAAGGTTCCCTTATATGAAATAACCAACCCACAAGGGTGCCCTTATTACAAAATATGGTTACTGGGCTACCAAGGATTTTTCTGCTGGGCAGAGAGCGCTCTATGCGGAGTTCCAAACCGGTCGATTGTCAGAGGCGCCAGATTGGCCGCTGTTCACGTAGATCTCAGACCCAGACCAGATAATGTAGGTGTTGCACCCGCGCACAGTCAAAGCGTGGCTGTCTACTCAGAACTACTATTTGCTTAAGATCCCCTCCCAAAATACAAGAATAATCCCTATACTGCCCTTATAAGGACGAATATGGTTGAGTTTGCTTTTTTTTTTTTTGGGGGGGGGGGGGGTCTTAGCAAATAGTAGAGAAGGCGCCCATCGAGTTTGACAATGTGGATTTCGCCGAGCTCTATGACGTTGGTCAGGATCCCTGGCAGATGCGGAACCTCATCAATAGCACTGAACAAGCCGTGAAGGAGGCATTGCACGCGCGGCTGCACGAGTCTCGGCGCTATGTTGAATTTGAGTGCAGACTTCAAGCGTAGCTATCAGTTGCCACAGCCACATGCGGGCTTCTGTGCAACTACATCTCGCGACCCTAAACCCTAAGCCCTAAACTCGAGCTTTGCAACCGACCCGGACAGCATCCTTGCCTGCTTCAGCGAGTGCGTGAGTCGAAACCCTAAACCCTAAACCCTCAGGAATGGTACCATTGCTTTGGGGCCACCTGCCCTCGGTGAACGGCAAGCCATCCGCTCTGTGCCGTGGGAAGTCGAAAAGTGCCCAATGCAAGGGAGCCAGGTTGTTCCGTAAACGGGTTTAGGGTTTAGGGTTTAGGGTTTAGGGTTTAGGGTTTAGGGTTTAGGGTTTACAAACCTTTAGGGAGCCCTGACTACTCGGGCTCCCTGTTCCCCAAATTAG